AGGAGCTCCATGGATACCAGAAATCAAGGATGCTCAAGTCTCTCATATAAAATGGCCTACTATTTGCATATAACTTGTGTATATCCTCCTGGATACTTTAAGTCATTGCTAGATACTAGTAATACCTAATACAATGTCAGTGTTCTGTAAATAGTTGTTATACTGTATTGGCTTTTTATTTGTATTATTTTTATCATTTTTCCCCCCCGAATATCTTTGATCCCCAGATGGCTGAAGCCATACATGTGGCACAGGTGGATAGGGAGGGCCAACTGTATTTGATTTGGAAATGAAAATGGGTGTCATTGATTTAAATACACCATTCTAATGGAGTATTTTTTACTTCATTACATTTTTATCTTAGGGCCTGAAAGAAGAAGTGTGGAAATTGATAACAAAAACAAAACCATCACAGCATATCATGAATCTGGTCATGCTATTATTGCATATTATACAAAAGATGCAATGCCTATCAACAAAGCTACAATCATGCCTCGAGGGCCAACACTTGGACATGTAAGTTTTTTGCAGTTTTTTTCTTTGTTTTCAAATAGAGCTTCCCAAAAGCTTATGGAGGAAATTGCTGATTTAAACATTTAGAAAGAAAATTCAACTACTTCTATGGTTTTCGATGTTTTCTTCTTTTACTTTCTGAACCATCTGGAAATCAGACATTTGTGCAAGTTTTCTGTTAATAGAATATTCTTTAAATCTTTTTCATATTGTATATTTACATTGTGAACTTTAATTGAAAAGTGGGAGTTAACCATAATTCTTAAATATCTAACTAATTGCTGTGCTCCCCCAAAAGGCAAATTATGTGGTGTAGTAATAGATTCAGTAGTTTTTGTAAGATTTTTGTCATTTAGTACAAGTTTCATTATCTTTTAAATTGTGGACATTTGAAACATATCTGTGCAACTTGGGCAAAAACTGTCCTGTTTTTGCCCTGTTTATAAAATGCCCTTTTGCTTTATGAGAAATTTTTTTATTTTCTAAGTTGTTGGTTTTGTCATCAGTCACTCAGTGACCATCTCTATTCAGCTTTCAGCATCCTGGTATTAAGTACTTTAGTGAGAGCTAAATGATAATTCTGGTTTTTAATATAAGAATTTCAGAACTGTATCTGAATTTCTTTGCTTATTATCTGATTATTTTTTAATTGTCTAGGTGTCTCTGTTGCCTGAGAATGACAGATGGAATGAAACTAGAGCCCAGCTGCTTGCACAAATGGATGTCAGTATGGGAGGAAGAGTAGCAGAGGAGCTTATATTTGGAACTGACCATATTACAACAGGTTTGCTTGAAAGAATGGCTTTGGTTGAAACTGTGTTTGTAGGGTTAAAGATATTTTTAAAAATTGTTATGTATTTTATTTTAGGTGCTTCCAGTGATTTTGATAATGCAACTAAAATAGCAAAGCGAATGGTTACCAAATTTGGAATGAGTGAAAAGGTAATAGCTAATTTTAATCCTTTCCATGTATCACTCTTGAGCCATAGGTGTCTTTGAGAGATGGTTCCGATTATCAATTGATAATGTTTACTTTTTCCCGTCTCGTTCCAATTGGATTTTAGACTGCTTCTGAACATTATTGTAAATGTTATTCCAAGTAACAAATACAGCACTCCCTTAGCTGCTCAGAATTAGCTGCTCACACAGTAACTATAACTTTATGAGTTAGCAAAATGGTAGAAGAAAGTAAATTTTTTAGCCTTTTCATATGGCATAAAAGAGCCTACTTTCTGAGCTTGCTTACTTTACCCTTTCCATGTATTTGACATTTGTACATCATCGTTGTGGCTCCGCTCTGAATTCTGAATTTGGAATGGCTGCCAAGGTTACCTAAGAAAATACTCAGAACCAGACATAAAATGATTTTAAATTTTCTCTCTTGCTCATACTGTGAGTATTTTGCTTTTAGTCTTTACGCTTTCAGAAGAATGATGACATTTCCTTGCCCTCAAATGCACGTTTATATATTTCTTTTTTGTGCCCCCATGGTTATTTGTTTCCTTACACATAGGATAGTACTTTCTCTGTGGATTTTATTGGTGTTTTGGGGCTTTTTCTGTTCAACTACTTTCTTTCCTTTGGTTTTAGCTTGGAGTTATGACCTACAGTGATACAGGGAAACTGAGTCCAGAAACTCAATCTGCTATTGAACAAGAAATAAGAATCCTTCTAAGGGTAATAAAAATATTTTTCTATGCTTATTTATTTTTGTAGACACAATATGCCTAAATAGGTCCTTAAAAAAATGAGAGAAATGATGTTTCTCTGTTCATTAGCAACATCACGCTATAACATAAAGATAGTAGGTGTATCACTACAGCAGTGATTTACTCTGTTATTAAGGAACCTCTGGCTCATGAACTGGGTCTTATTTTATTCTAATTCTCAGCTAAGAATAGTTATATTTGTGGTTAAGAAATTTCAGTCCTACTTTAGCTAGAAAACCATAAGAAGTTTTAGCATAGGGGACATCGTTTATTGCGTCTCTGTGTCTCTTGTTTTCCCACTCTGACATGTTATTTATTCAACAAATACTGTTATTTGTTGATTGATCACTTATTATTTGCTTTGTGCTCAGCCCTGTGTATGTTCTGAGAGTAATATAGAATAAACAAAACAAAGGTCCCTTGGGCTACAGGGTCGATTACAGGATAAAGGAATATGTAAGAGTAGATTCATTGGGATGAGTGAGTGGGTACTATGGTAATCCAGGTGTGCTAAATGAACAATTGGATTAGGTTGGTGAGAATGGAAATGGAGAAACATCAGTTGGTTCAAGAGATACTAATGTAGTAGAATCTAGTATATCTTTGCGATGTTTTGGATGTGAGGGCTGAGAGAGCAGTTAAAAGTGTTTCCTGCCTCATGCAACTGTATGATTGTTTGTGCTATTCAGTGATGAAACTGGAGACTAAACTCAGCTGAGGCTGGGAGTAGATACATCACAAGTGCAGTTTTTTCTTTTTTGTTGTTTTTGCTTTCAGAGATGAGGTCTTACTATGTTGCCCAGGCTGGACTTGAACTCCTGGCCTCTAGTGATCCTCCTGCCTCGTCCTCCCGAAGTGCTAGTATTACAGGCGTCAGCCACTGCGCCCGGCCAGCCCAGGCTGGATTTGAACTACTGGGTTCAAGCGTTCCTCCCACCTTAGCCTCCCCAGTAGCTGGAAATACAGGAGCACACAACTGTGCCTGGCTCCATGAGTTCAATTTATACATGTTGAAGTGGAGGAATCTTAGTAAAGATTTCAAGTTAGAAATAGATGTGTGTGTCTGGACCTTAGTGGAGAGGTTGGCTATGTGTTCCATTTGGATGTTGAAATTACCCATCCATTAAGGCAGGTCTTGGAATGAAAAAGGAAGACCAAGGTGAGTGCTGAGGTCTTTAGTGAATGAAGAGTGTAATCAGGGTGTTTGTGAGATGGTGCAATGAAGGAGGTTGGATAGGACTTTAGTTAAGTGGTTTGGACTTCAAAGAACAGTGCTTTATAGAAGAGGGCGGGTTAGTAGATGGCGTGGAAGTGGTGGTGATGGGAACAAAGAGCTCACCTCTTCACCCGGAAGGATCTGGGATAAGAGCAAATAAATAGCACTTGAGACGGCTTAGGGAAAGCAGTCTTGGCAGGAGAAGCCAAGTTTTGATTAATTCAAGGAGGTAAAAGGAGTGGTTAAAGTCTGTACAACGGAAAGGTTTAGAAAGCATTTCAGAAGAGGAGGGCTCTGCCTTCCCAGAATGTTTATTTCCTTTTCCTTGCTATTTCTATTGTGTTGCCAAAGTATCTATAGTCTAGAACCAGGCTTTTAACTGCTTTTATAAATTTCACATTTTTTAGAGTACATAAAGTTTTTATTTGTTTTCCCATTGAGTATGGGTTTTGTTTCCCCTACATTTCTGCCTCTTACATATCTGCTTTTCTGTTTCAGGATTCATATGAACGAGCAAAACATATCTTGAAAACTCATGCAAAAGAGCATAAGAATCTCGCAGAAGCTTTATTGACCTATGAGACTTTGGATGCCAAAGAGATTCAAATTGTTCTTGAGGGCAAGAAATTGGAAGTGAGATGATAACTCTCTTGACATGGGTGCTGGTTTTATCGCAAGAATATAAGAAACATTATAGTAGTGTCCTTTTGCAGTGCTTTCCCCTCCAGTTCTTGACTTGGTGTCATTCAAGGGTGTGAGACACTTTCTCATTCTTTTTCACATTTATCTAATTTTAGCTACTCTCATGATGACACCTGTTGCAAATTAGCAACCTATAGCAAATATATTTTAAAAAAATAAAGAACTATCGGGATTCAAAATAGCTCATTTGAGAAATGTCAATCAGTTATTGAGTTGAAAGTGACTAATGATTTTATGGTTGGTTACTCTGCTAGATGTGAATAAAAATGGGTGCCCTTAGCTCCTGGGAAGTACTTTAATTTGCAAGCTAAAGTTGTTGAAGGATTATCTTTTTCTCTTGATAGTGCCATTTGTCTTTGATAATGAAATTATGGCTTTTTGTTGGTAGATCATCTTTCTGTGTACATTACTGGAGACTTAATTAAGATCCATTAATTATGCTCCAGATTGACCACGTGTAAAATGGTTTTTTAAAGATTAGAGAATTGTAAATATATAGATACAGTCAGACTTTAAATGATTATAACCTTTTAAAAATGTAGCATGCATTTTTTCATGTTCTTTATGGAGTCAGACTGACACAGAGTTCTCTGCTGAGACCAATAGACTTATGGTAGAATGGGTGCATATGCAGTGATAATCCATGTTTGGACAGATGGAGAATCTGGAAGCCAAGGTAACAGATGCACTGGCCTAGTGAAAGCGGTTCCAAAACCAGAGAAACCAATAGCAGAAAGTATGCTGAAATGGTCTGTTACATTCTCTCCTTGCCCACTAGAAAGCTCAGATAACCAAAACATTTAAGTTTCTTCATTTTGTTGAAATTGTTTAAATGATAACAACTTATTCCTGGAGAGTTTACATAAGGACATGAAAGAGAGAGGGCAAAAGAAAGAAACATAACCACACCTACTTCACTGTTTCCTACCTCCAAGCTGTCAGACAACTCATAAAAATATGAGTCTTGTTTTTTATTTCTGCACCTTACTCTAGTGATTGGACACTCAGATTGTGTCCCATAAATTATCTGCGAAGTTTAAACTTAATTTCCTGTAGCTTTTTTCTGAGTTCCACTCTTGGAATGATGGGGGTTTTTAGCATTTAGGTGCATAGGTACAGTTCCTAGGGCACCCGAGAGTTATGGGCCCTTAAAATAAAACAGGCTCCAAATTTTTACAAAATTACAAAATATAAATTAATATTTAATTGCCTGTTTACAGAAAACATTCAACGTTAATCATAAATATGTGTGAAATTTCCGTTACATTTGAGAACACTTGTACATTAGATTTTCTCACTTAGAGCACCATTTCTAAATAGGTGTGACTGTCAATTATAGTAAAGTAAATGATTACAAAAGTGAACTATATTACCATATGACCCAGCAATTCCATTCCTAGGTATATACCCATGTAAAATGAAAACATGTCCACACAAAAACTGGTACACAAATGTTCATAGTAGTGTTATTCATAAAAGCCAAAAGGTGGAAATAGCTCATGTCTATCAACTGATAAATGGATAAATAAAATGCAGTATAGCAATATAATGAATTATTATTCTGCAATACAAGGAAATACTGTGTACTGATACACAGTATAACATGGATGAACCTCAAAAACATTATACTAAGTGAATGAAGTAGGTCAAAAAAGACCACATATTGTATGATTTTATTTATATAGAATACCTGGAATAGGCAAATCTGTGGAGACAGTAGATTAGTGGTTGCCTAGGAACTTGTGTTTGAGGGGGGAATGGTAAGTTACTGCTAATCGATGAAAATGTAAAATTGATTGTCATGATAGTTGCACAACTCTGTGAATATACTAAAAACCATTGAACTGTACACTTCACATGGGTAAATTGAATGGTATATGAAGTTTATCTCAATAAAGCTGCTATACATTTAAAAAATGAATTACAAAATCCAACCAAAAATTGTAGAGCAACTTAATGGGGCTTCAGAGAATAGGTACATTCACATCTTTACACAGTGTAAAATTCTGAAATCTCAGTCTCTTTCCCACTGCTGAATGATCTAGTTACCAGCTTGTCACCAGAGGCAATAAGTGTTATATGTTCCTGGGGGTATTTTATAGATATGGTTTGTTATCCCCCTTTTGACATATATATATGATCTTTTTTACATAAATCGTATACTATTCTCATTGTTACATACTTTGCTTTTTTTCTCTTAAACATATATTTGTAAAGTATTCCATATTAATACACAAAGCTTTGATCTTACAGCATTTCATTGTTTGGATGTATCAGAATACATTCTAATATATTTGATATGACATATGATGAATCCTGCAAAATTAAAGTGCCTAGTTTAATATCAGTAATTTTAAGTTAAATGGTTTTTAAATATGTATTAGTAAACTCATGTTGACTTTAATAAGGTTTTCCTTTAAAGGTTTTGATAACACAAAGTTACAATTGCTGTACGTATATTTACTGAGAAGAAAAAGAAATTTCAATGATTTTTATCATTATCTTCAACTACCATTTATATAAGCCTTCTGAATGCCTTGTATGCAGTACATATTATATATGCAAGCATTGCTAAGCCTCTTAACCTGCAAATCAGCAAAATAAATTCTGTAGGAAAATCTGTACAATCAGATCTCTTTAGTAAATAATCTGTATGCACACATGAGAGCCAGAGATGGATGGGGTCAATCTAATGAAGAGACTAAAAAGGAACATTAATCAATCAAATTGAGCTTATGTTACAGTGACCTATGATCAGGTCATTGCACTCCAACCTGGGAGACACAACAAGGCCCTTTCTCAAAAAAAAAAACAACTGTGTATGAACCCTTGGAACATCGGACACTGATGGTGTATTTGATGGCCTTAAGGAATTAATTTTTATGAAACTAAATGAGTTTAAAAAATGAGAACCCTTATCTGTTAGACATTCTAAAATGTTTACAGATACAGTGAGATATGTATGCTGTCTGAAATCTTCAAAATTAAACTGCTCATGAGTTGATAATTGTTGAGAATGACAGGGATTTGTGAGTTTTTGTTTTTT